TGGGGGTGCCGAGGCGGGCAGGGGGGGTTGGGGTGCACCCCTCCTCTGCTCCGAGCATGGGGGAGCTTCAGCTCCTTGTGTGGGGTGCAGGCTCAGCGCACTGCTGGGGCAGGGCTGCAGCCAGGGAGGAAGGGTTCACCATCATCATCCTCAGTCGCTATCCTCAGGGGAGACCTGGTTTTCCCCAAAGTCTAGGCGTGGTGGTGCCCTGCTCATCCTCCCGCAGGCACAGACCGACCTCAGGAGCGTTTGTCCATCCAAAATGGACATCCCTTTGCAGGAAGGGGGATTGACATCCTCCCCGGCAAGGTGCTGGGGTCAGGGGGGGCAAAGGGAGAAGGGGGGGCTGGTACCTCTATTTTTTACAGAGGCTGCAATTAAGAGAAATGTGCCCAAACTGAGGTCTGCAAATTTTAACCTCACCTCCTGCCAGCTGGTCAAACAGTGAGCAGAAACCAGGTTGGGGAGACCTGGTTTTCCCCAAAGTCTAGGCGTGGTGGTGCCCTGCTCATCCTCCCGCAGGCACAGACCGACCTCAGGAGCGTTTGTCCATCCAAAATGGACATCCCTTTGCAGGAAGGGGGATTGACATCCTCCCCGGCAAGGTGCTGGGGTCAGGGGGGGCAAAGGGAGAAGGGGGGGCTGGTACCTCTATTTTTTACAGAGGCTGCAATTAAGAGAAATGTGCCCAAACTGAGGTCTGCAAATTTTAACCTCGCCTCCTGCCAGCTGGTCAAACAGCAGAAACCAGGTCGCCAGAAAGTCTTGCCTTGTTTTCTACCGGAGCTGACCTCTGGGTAGCAACAACCCCACTTACACAAAGTTTCCTCTGAAGGACTTTGGACTTCTGTGATCCTGAGCTGGGACCTTGCTCTCTCTGAGCTAAAATACCAGTGGTACTGTGCTGATGGGCTGGGAACACTGGTGTTCCAGCAGCTTCTGTCCCAAAAGCCACTAAACAGGGTTGTTTCTGGCCAGAAAAGGGATGGGGAGTTACTGTGTCACGAGGCAGCCCCCTCATTACGATTTTGCTCATACCCACAAGGACTCCCAATGTCTGAATTCAAAGCAATTACATCCAGCTAATTAATCTTTGGGTGGAAAGTAATTGTAGCTAATTACAGTGGGAGGGGTGTGCTCCCAGGTGCTTCACATAGAGCTGTTTGCATCTTGCACGAAACCCACCGTGAAGCTTTGGAGATCACTGTGGTGGGAACAGGACCCTCCTGCCCTGTAGCTGCAGGAGCTGGGATCAGGGGGATCCCCCGAGATGGATGGGGGGGCTTTAGTGGGGGTGGGACATTTCAAAGCACTGTGAAGACACCCCTCCTCCCCGATCAAATTGACAAATGCAATATTGGCAATGTGGTAAAGCAGAATGTCCTATAGAACAAGGATCCCCCCCCTCTGCCCCCCCAGCTTTTGCTTTCTGTGGGTTTCCAGCGAGCTGCAGCGGGGCAGCTGTCCTGGGAGCAACCCGTTCCAGAGTTTGGGAGCCACACAACTCGAGATAACAAAAAGTTTAGAGTACATTTAACACAGCCTTGAGAGGAGAAACTGCGGGCAGCGTTAACTCTTGCCAGGCCTCCTCCTTATCCGTCCCCCACCCCGCAGGCAGGAAGCCAACAGAGACCTTTTGCTGCTCCTTCTAACTTTGGTGTGTGGTGTCTGGATGGTATGACACAAGAATCCACGAAACGCTTAAAAGATAAGACTGGAAGAATTATTGAAAATATCTTACAAACTTAATTTGTCTTAAATCAGCTCTGTTTATGCATCTATTATACTGTTTCTAGCTCCGAAATGGACTTGAGCAGGGCTCCTGCAGCAGAAAAGAGCTGGAAGTTCTTGTGTGTTACCAAGTGAAATCCCCTATTGACATGTTAAATTGCTAATTCTTCCCTGAAGAAAGGGCTGAGCTGATTTACAAAACTTGAATGTGAGTTGTACCGTGTTGCTGTTTTCCTGGGAACAATATGCATGTGATATTATTATTCATGCATATATGTATTTATATACAGACACACACAATGTTATCATTTCGTAACACTCTGTACTGATAGGACGCTCAGCTCGTATACTGTGTCCAGAACAGCAGAGGGCTTCCAGAAAGATGCTGACAGTTTGAAAACAATTGGGAGGAAAAGCAAGAATAAGAGGTGTTTTTTCAGTCCTGTCAGAGAAAAAAAAAAAAAAAAAAAAAAAC